CCCCTATAATTTTTTGCACTCTCTTTTATCCCTTTGCCTTTATACAAAGAACTATGCATGCTCTCTGCCAATCCCTAGGTACCTTACCCTCTTCCATACATTTATTAAATAATTGCACCAACCACTCCAAAACTATATCCCCACCTGCTTTTAACATTCTATCTTTATCCCATCAATCCCGGCTGCCTTACCCCCTTTCATTTACCTACTGCCTCACGAACTTCCCCCACACTCACAACTGGCTCTCCTCACTCCTACAAGATGTTATTCCTCCTTGCCCTATACACGAAATCACAGCTTCCCTATCTTCATCAACATTAACAATTCCTCAAAATATTCCCTCCATCTTCCAATACCTCTAACTCTCCATTTAATAACTCTCCTCTCCTATTTTTAACTGACAAATCCATTTGTTCTCTAGGCTTCCTTAACTTATTAATCTCACTCCAAAACTTTTTCTTATTTTCAACAAAATTTGTTGATAACAGCTCACCCACTCTCTCATTTGCTCTCTTTTTACATTGCTTCACCACTCTCTTAACCTCTCTCTTTTTCTCCATATACTCTTCCCTCCTTGCATCACTTCTACTTTGTAAAAACTTCTCATATGCTAACTTTTTCTCCCTTACTACTCTCTTTTTTACATCATCATTCCACCAATCGCTCCTCTTCCCTCCTGCACCCACTTTCCTGTAACCACAAACTTCTGCTGAACACTCTAACACTACATTTTTAAACCTACCCCATTCCTCTTCGACCCATTGCCTATGCTCTCATTAGCCCATCTATCCTCCAATAGCTGTTTATATATCTTACCCTAACTGCCTCCTCTTTTAGTTTATAAACCTTCACCTCTCTCTTCCCTGATGCTTCTATTCTCCTTGTATCCCATCTACCTTTTACTCTCAGTGTAGCTACAACTAGAAAGTGATCTGATATATCTGTGGCCCCTCGATAAACATGTACATCCTGAAGTCTACTCAACAGTCTTTTAAATCTACTAATACATAATCCAACAAACTACTGTCATTTCGCCCTACATCATTCGTGTATACTTATTTATCCTCTTTTCTTAAAATATGTATTACCTATAACTAAACCCCTTTCTATACAAAGTTCAATCAAAGGCTCCCATTATCATTTACACCTGGCACCCCAAACTTACCTACCACACCCTCTCTAAAAGTTTCTCCTACTTAGCATTCAGGTCCCCTACCACACTTACTCTCTCACTTGGTTCAAAGGCTCCTAATACATTCACTTAACATCTCCCAAAATCTCTCTCTCTCCTCTGCATTCCTCTCTTCTCCAGGTGCATACACGCTTATTATGACCCACTTCTCGCATCCAACCTTTACTTTAATCCACATAATTCTCGAATTTTTCACATTCATATTCTCTTTTCTCCTTCCATAACTGATCATTTAACATTACTGCTACCCCTTCCTTTGCTCTAACTCTCTCAGATACTCCAGATTTAATCCATTTATTTCCCCCACTGAAACTCTCCTACCCCCTTCAGCTTTGTTTCGCTTAGAGCCAGGACATCCAACTTCTTTTCATTCATAACATCAGCAATCATCTGTTTCTTGTCATCCCACTACATCCACGCACATTTAAACAACCCAGTTTTATAAAGTTTTTTTCTCTCTTTTTTAGTAAATGTATACAGGAGAAGGGGTTACTAGCCCATTGCTCCCGGCATTTTAGTCGCCTCATACGACACGCATGGCTTACGGAGGAAAGATTCTTTTCCACTTCCCCATGGACAATAGAAGAAATAAAAAAGAACAAGAGCTTTTAGAATAAGGAGAAAAACCTAGATGTATGTATATATATATATGCATGTGCGTGTCTGTGAAGTGTGACCAAAGTGTAAGTAGGAGTAGCAAGATATCCCTGTTATCTAGCGTGTTTATGAGACAGAAAAAGAAAACCAGCAATCCTACCATCATGCAAAACAGTTACAGGTTTTTGTTTCACAGTCATCTGGCAGGACGGTAGTACTTCCCTGGGTGGTTGCTGTCTACCAACCTACTACCTACCTCAGTACCTCAGTACTCGAACTTAATTCATTCCAGAATGCTGTTCGAGTACCAAACGAATTTTCTCCTATGACGAATAATGTAAATTAAATTAATCTGTTTTAGACACCCAAAAATACACTTACAAAGGCATTTTAACACTAAGTTTACAAGCCTAGCATGCATAAATCTGAGTGGTCAGTGTGCACAGTATAAAAAAATCCTTCAACAGGCAGTGGATAATGAGAAAAAAAAAATTGCAACTGTTTTTAGTTTACAAGTGACTTTGCGGTGTGTTTTCTTATGGTATTTATGGTTATATTCTGTTTTTTTGGTCTCACTTGACAGAACTGAAGATGTATTACAGAAATAGAGATGATTTTGAATGGTTTTCAGACTAAAAGTACAGTGGACCCCCGCATAACGATTACCTCCGAATGCGACCAATTATGTAAGTGTATTTATGTAAGTGCGTTTGTACGTGTATGTTTGGGGGTCTGAAATGGACTAATCTACTTCACAATATTCCTTATGGGAACAAATTCTGTCAGTACTGGCACCTGAACATACTTCTGGAGTGAAAAAATATCGTTAACCGGGGGTCCACTGTACCTTAAAATTGAGCTCAAAATAGTGGTAATGTAAGAGTAAAATTACGTCACGCATCCAGTACACATCAACTGGTGGGTCTAGTATGCTTTCACAAATGTGCTCATATTATTTATATCATTTTTACAATGATGCAGTAGTCTGCATAACAGTAAATCTTATGCTTTTTTGTGTGAATAAAAATTAAAAATGGAAAGAACCTAATATAAGAGGGCCATGGAACATGACTAATGAACAAAAAAATGTTACTTTAGGATAGAATGTTTTCATTTTAATTCTGGACCCTTTTAAAATTTGGGGCCTTAAATTTTTGTATAAATTTTGGCCAAAATTAACCAAATTTTTCTATTATTTTTTTTGGGTAAACAAATTACCTGCAATAGAAGAGGGGAGTTTTACGACGACTTTTTTGGTCCAAGGGGACCATTTAAAAATCACACTAAGGAAGTAGAGCGGGGGGAGGGGTATACGTATATGGGCGGAAGAGAAAGGGGGTAGTAGTATGGGGGAGATGGAAGGAAGTTAAGGGAAGTAAGGGAGAAGCCACAAATAAAAGAATGGGGACACTGAAAGGGGAGCTAGGTGCCCACAAGGCACACATCAAGATATAATTTCTCTTCCTCCCAGCAATTTCCGTTTGGTACTCCATTTTTTTTGTTTATGCTTGTGCACAATGTGCACACATGTGCACATGTTGTCTAAATTGGGTTGCAGGGTCTCAAGCCCTGGCCCTGCCAGGAGCTGTGAAGGGCATGTGTATAGTCTGCAGGGGTGTGCGGCATGTCTCGCACGTCACGTGTGCTTTTCATGTGTGCATGTGTGTGCATGCGTAAACATTTTACACGGGGCCCATTTCATTTGTTCTTCGTTCACTAGGGAAGGGGAGAAGGGGGGAAAACATGCTCAAAATAAAGATTTTTTTTCTTTGTAAAGGTACATTTTGTACAATTTTGGTTTGCTAAGTACAAAGAAAGCCACTATCATGCCGGGGATTTTGGGCAAATAATTTTATACACAGTAACTACTTAAAACAGACAAAATAAAGTACACAGTAACTACTTTAAAAATACACGATAAAAAGTGACTTTAATAATAATAACAAATTGGGAAGTCGTTTTGGGGGTTAAAAAATATTTGTAAGGGTTTCAGGGGAAAACCTTATTTTCATAAAGTCGGATTTAAATCCTGGAAAGGGAATTTTAAAGCCTGCACTTTTAAAAAGGAGGGTTTTTGGATTTGGAGTTGGGGATATGTTTTATCTTTAATTTAAAGTTTTAGACTTTGTTTCTGAGCACCTCTTTTCAAAAAAAGGAAATGTGCATGGGTGAAAGGGTTTAATGTTTATGGGGTTTTTTTTTTTTTTTTTTTTCTTTTTTTTTTTACCCCCCTTTGGTGGGGAGAGGGAATTGTTAAAAAAAAAAAACAAAAAAAACCAAAGCGAGATAGTCAAGGTGGGGGTTTTAAAAAAAATAATCTTGATTTTCCACAAAATAAAAATCAATTTTTTCAATTAATTTTTCGGGCAGAAATTTTTCATGGTTTTGGCAGATTTAATAGCCTAGGGGCACATAATATAACAATTAAAGTTTTTTTTTGGTCGATTTGGTTTAGTAGTGAGAGATAAGATGTTTTTTTTACAATGTCCAAAAATTTTATAATATCAGGGGATCCTTTACCGGTTCCGGTAGAGACCAGACCTTTGACCCTTTATGTGCATAAATTTTTGCATGTGTGAGACACACGGGGGATTTTTAAAAGGGGGCCCTTTAAATGCCTTGTATTGTGGGGGTTTTTTGTGTTCGTTGAAACTATCAAGGAGAAGTTTGTGGGGGGTTTATAGTGGAATTTAATGTTCTATATATGTGTAGGCACAAATAATATGATGTTGTCTCTATATTTAAAAGTTCAGGTTTTTTGAAAAGTGGTGGCTGTGCTTCTAGCACAGGAGCGGGTAATCATCTGCAACACTTTTTGTTTTGGGTTTTTAAAGGGTTTTAAGTGGTTTTCTGTGGTTTATCCCCCTAGGTAATAAGTTTTAAAAGAGTGGGATAGGTAAGCATGCCATTTTTGGGGGACATGTATTGTACTTTGGGAAAAAATGCTTTCGATTTGGGAAATTTTCCCTTTTGAAACCTTTTTTTTTGCATCATAACTTTTTTCCCTGTACTCAGTTAATTTTACATTATCATTAAAATTGTTAGGTCATCATAATTTATATTTACAATGTACTAATCATCATGTATTGTTTTTTATCAGATTTTTTCTGCAGTTTTGTATGCTCGTACTGTTCGATATTTTAGGTCAATACAGCAATTTGTTTTCATAGATATATCAAAATTAACATTGCCCCATCATTTTGTTTTCCAGCCAAATCCCATCAGTGTTCTCCCAGCATCATGGGTATGTATTATTAAATGTTTGTTTATTTGTTTTGAAGAAAAAATTCTATTTGAGAAAACAGGTGACACTGTAACAACCACACTAATTCATCCTTATAACAACTTGTTAGAGAGTGGTGTATTTACCAAGCAGAGAAAAAATATTAACCTATACTTAAATAATAATTCAGAAGTTATCTACAAAAACAAGTTTATAGTTAATGTAAAACTGACTTTGTTTTGTATTGGTACAAACCATTCTGCCCCAGTGCCAATGTTAGTTTCTTAGATCCTCAAGCTAATTTTTATATATACGTATATGCCTTTTAACCCATAAACGGTCCAAACGTATATGTACATTCTTACCGATAGAGCCCCAAACGTATATATAAGTTTTATTTTTCCTGCCTCCAAATTTGACATGATTGGCCTGAGATGCCTGGTCAGCATAGAATGGGTCTTAACACTTGGTGTACACCATATTGAAAACTGGGACCACTTAGTACCTTGTGGGAGGGCCAGTTAAAATGAGTGCCAGCTAGAGCAAACAGTGTGGAAAACGCCAAGGATTCACTGATGTAATGTCATATTAACACTCCCCTTTTAAGAGGAAAGTGATGTTGACCCCAAGTTTAGGGTCTGTCTATCTGTCTCTATCTGCCCCTGTCTACCTGTCTCTGCCTATCTCTTATCTCTGTCTCACAGGTACACATAAGTACAATTATACATAGTGTAAATTGCCTAGGATAACCTAAATAATCCGAATTGCTATAATGTGCTTGTAGATATAATGCATAATAATACCTGTTAGTTCACAGTGGCTCTCTCTGAGACAGAGAGAAAGAGACAAGCAGAGAGATGGAAAGAGAGACAAGCAGACAGAGATACAAGACAGATAAGCAGAGACAGAGATGCCGATGCTCATCAAATGTCATCCCTTATCTCATCTTATCTCTGCACCCTCGCAGGCACCCATCAAATGTCATCCCTTATCTCATCTTATCTCTGCACCCTCGCAGGTGCCCATCAAATGTCATCCCTTATCTCATCTTATCTCTGCACCCTGCAGGTGCCCATCAATGCCCTCCTGGATGCTTGTTGCTGACATGCTTCAAGGAAACTTCTTCTTTCTTCTTCTTCTGTACTCCAGTGTATCCAAAACATTGCTGGGACTTACAAATACTTTGTATATATTCCTAGACAATAGTAAATGACCAAGGCAGGTGTAAATGTCCATCTGCCAATGTGTTTGTGACAATTTGAGTACAATTTCAGTACCTAATTTTAGTGTCAGAACAAAGATGGGTTATGAAATGACAAGAACTACTACAAATTGTAATTATCAGAACATAAAAATTATATAAAATAATATGATAGTGAGGAAAAAAGGTATATCCGCAACACTTCTACAAGCGGCAGGACTCGATGTTGCTGTCAGGTGAGCATTAAGTGCCAACTTTGCAGCCTTATATATCAGTAAGTACTGACCCTATTTTTTTTTATTTTAATCCTATAACACTTAGAAAATTAAACCATACCCCGGCCGGGATTGAACCCGCGGTCAGAGAGTCTCAAAACTCTCTGACCGCGGGTTCAGTCCCGGCCGGGGTATGGTTTGTTTGCAATCGTGTCATTACGATTTCGTGAGTCACTTAGAAAATTATTTTCTAATTCAATAAAAAAAATTATTTTTTTATTTTTCAAAATATTCGGGGCACTGGACGAGACAGTGTATATATGTTTGGACCGTTTAGGGGTTAAACCAGCTAACATTAATTTAGAGAGGTTTTTACAAAGCAGAAGTGTTATAAGAAGAGTAGAGTATATGGAGAGTAAAAGAAAGGTGAAGGGAGTGGTGAGAGTGCAAAAGGAGAGCAGATGATAGAGTGGGAGAGGCACTGTAAGGAAATTTTAATGAAAATAAGAAAACATTTTGGAGTGAGTTAACCCTTTCAGGGTCCGTCCCGTAGATCTATCGGCTGTACGTTCAGGTGTCCAAACCGTAATCTACGCCATGAGCTCAGTCACTTTGATAAACTGTGAGTTCGGTACATTTGGGCACTAGATTTTAGGAATACATCTTTGTGGTATGTGTGCACACAAAATCGATCCTGCAGCACACTGTGTATAATGAGAGAAAAAAATGAAATCATGATTTTTCGATTAAAACAGCAACCTTTGCAGTGAGATTTTTTCGTTTTTTTTTAAGAATAAGGTTGTATTGCGATTCTTGGTCTCATTTGATAGTATGGAAGACATATTACAGAAATAGAGATGATTTTGATTGGTTTTAGCACTGGGAAAAGGCTTGAAACTGAGCTCAAAGTAGCGGAAATGTTAAATTTTGCCGATATTCAAGAGTAAACAAACGACCTCACACATCTAATACACGTCAGCTGGTGGGTCTAATATACATTCACAAATATGGTGATGATATTTATATAATTATTACAGTATTGCATAACAGTAAATCTTCTATTTTTTGGTGTGGAATAAAAATCAAAATGGAATTTATTTGTAAAGCCTCAAAACATAACTAATGAACAAGAGGAAATGTTAGTTTAGTGCAGGAATGCCTACATTGTTCATTCTGGACCCTATTTTGAAATTGGAAATTTTTGAACTTGTGTTAATTGCCAAATTACAACTTCTGATCACTTTATTTTGTAGTTGAAACAGTTGACTTGGCGATTTCTTGTGCTCAATCGATAGAATAAAAGTAATACTAGTGAAATAGCTAAGAATTTGGTTGATTGGAATAATGTAATTGGCCTAAAATGGGAGTCAAAGTCGGCAAAATCGCCAATTCGTAAATATCGCTGACACATCAAAATTCGCGAGAGCATAATTTCGTCAATTTTCCACCAAATTTCGTACTTTTTGTTTTATTACCTTCACAAAAAGATTCTCTACAATTTCATAAGAAAAAATAACAATTTTTTTTTTTGAAAATTCTTGGACACTGGTGCGTGACTCCAGATTTGGGCCTTGGACCCTGAAAGGGTTAAACAAGTTAAGAAAGCCTAGGGAGCATAATTCTGTACGTTTTCCATCAAATTTCATACTGTTGGTGTCATTATGATCGGGAGGAGATTCTCTATCATTTCATAAGATTTTTTTTTTTTTTTTTTTTTTTTGTGAAAAATTTCCGACCCTGAGAACAAGTTTAGGAAAGGGCCTGCTGACCCCGAAAGGGTTAATAAATGTATGAAAGAGGGGAAGGTACCTAGGGATTGGCAGAGAGCATGTATAGTCCCTTTATATAAAGGGAAGGGGGACAAAAGAGATTGTAAAAATTATAGAGGAATAAGTTTACTGAGTATACCAGGAAAAGTGTATGGTAGGGTTATTATTGAAAGAATTAGAGGTAAGACAGAATGTAGGATTGCAGATGAGCAAGGTTGTTTCAGAGTGGGTAGGGGATGTGTAGATCAAGTGTTTACATTGAAGCATATATGTGAACAGTATTTAGATAAAGGTAGGGAAGTTTTTATTGCATTTATGGATTTAGAAAAGGCATATGATTGAGTGGATAGAGGAGCAATGTGGTAGATGTTGCAAGTATATATGAAATAGGTGGTAAGTTACTAAATGCTGTAAAGAGTTTTTATGAGGATAGTGAGGCTCAGGTTAGGGTGTGTAGAAGAGAGGGAGACTACTTCCCAGTAAAAGTAGGTCTTAGACAGGGATGTGTAATGTCACCATGGTTGTTTAATATATTTATAGATGGGGTTGTAAAAGAAGTAAGTGCTAGGGTGCTCAGGAGAGGAGTGGGATTAAATTATGGGGAATCAAATACAAAATAGGAATTGGCACAGTTACTTTTTGCTGATGATACTGTGCTTATGGGAGATTCTAAAAAAAAATTGCAAAGGTTAGTGGACGAGTTTGGGAGTGTGTGAAAAGGTAGAAAGTTGAAAGTGATCATAGAAAAGAGTAAGGTGATGAGGGTATCAAATGATTTAGATAAAGAAAAATTGGATATCAAATTGGGGAGGAGGAGTATGGAAGAAGTGAATGTTTTCAGATATTTGGGAGTTGACGTGTCAGCGGGTGGATTTATGAAGGATGAAGTTAATCATAGAATTAATGAAGGAAAAAAGGCGAGTGGTGCATCGAGGTATACATGGAGACAAAAAAAAACGTTATCTATGGAGTCAAAGAAGGGAATGTATGAAAGTATAGTAGTACCAACACTCTTATATGGGTGTAAAGCTTGGGTTGTAAATGCTGCAGCAAGGAGGCGGTTGGAGGCAGTGGAGATGTCCTGTCTAAGGGCAATGTGTGGTGTAAATAATATGCAGAAAATTCGGAGTGTGGAAATTAGGAGAAGGTGTGGAGTTAAAAGTATTAGTCAGAGGGGTTGTTGATGTGGTTTGGTCAGTTAGAGAGAATGGATCAAAGTAGAATGACATGGAGAGCGTATAAGTCTGTAGGGGAAGGAAGGCGGGGTAGGGGTCGTCCTCAAAAAGGTTGGAGGGAGGGGGTAAAGGAGGTTTTGTGGGTGAGGGACTTGGACTTCCAGCAAGTGTGTATGAGCGTGTTAGATAGGAGTGAATGGAGATGAATGGGATTCAGGGAAACCAGTTATTTTTATATAGCCGGACTTGAGTCCTGGAAATGGGAAGTACAATGCCTGCACTTTAAAGAAGGGGTTTGGGATATTGGCAGTTTGGAGGGATATGTTGTGTATCTTTATATGTATAGGCTTCTAAACTGTTGTATTCTGAGCACCTCTGCAAAAACAGTGATTGTCTGTGTGAGGTGAAAGTGTTGATTGATGAAAATATTTTCTTTTGGGGATTTTCTTTCTTTTTGGGTCACCCTGCCTCAGTGGGAGACGGCCGACTTGTTAAAAAAAAAAAATACAGTAGGGCCCACTTACACGGCAGGTTATGTTCCAGGCCACTGCTGGAAAGCAGGCTGCCATTTTTTCCACTTACAAATACATATAAATGCCAGATAACAAGTTTACACTACCATATATTAAATTAGCAATAGAACTAGGCATTAAAAAACAATAAATAGTAAAATACACAGTACACTCATTATTTACCTCAAAATATTTGTAGTCTTAATGTTGGGCAAAAGGTGAGTAGTATTTACTGTAAGATGTCAGGTGTGGTAACCCTCCTAGCCACCCCACCCACACATAATATACTACGACGCTTAAAGCTCCCTAGAGTGATAAAATGCATATACAGTACACTCATTACTTACCTTAAAATATTTGTAGTCTTTATGGTCTTAATATAGATTGAGAGGTGAAAAGCATTTATTTGTAGAAAGTCATGTGTAGGAGGTAGGGTAGGGTAGCCCGCCTGGCCACCCCACCCACTACGTAAACAAATGGACGAAGCGTCTTGTTATGGTTCATAAACATTCATACCAGCACCTTACGTTGTGTTGTTGTTGGGTGTAAGGGCCACTGAGAGTAAGCCGTCCATAATGGTGGTGAAGCAGCAGCTTAGGCGGTGGTGTTTTCTGTAGCCCTATATAACTCCAACAACATTGGAGGAGTTGGTAGAATTGCTGAATCATTGAAGAAGGCTCCCTCTACCACCATCACAACCACTACCACCCTCTACCACTGTCACTACCACTGTCTACCACTATCATAACTGCTACTACCCTCTACCACCATCACTACCACCCTCTACCACTATCACAACTGCTAGCACCCTCTACCACCATCACTACCACCCTCTACCACTATCACAACTGCTGGCACCCTCTACCACCATCACTACCACCCTCTACCACTGTCACAACTGCTAGCACCCTCTACCACCATCACTACCACAACTGCTACCACTCTACCACCACCACTACCACCTTTGTATTTTTCTACAAATTTTTTCTTAAATTATATGTGTTTCTCACATTCTTTACCAAAGGGCTGGAACTAGAAGCTTTCTTTGGAGCCATGGTGACTTATTTAGCAGTTGCAAGCACTAAAACGAATGGAATATTATGAAATGTATCGTATGAACTAGTGGGATCATCCTCACTCTCTGATAAACAATGTTACACTGGCTGGGAATGGAGTGTGAGGCAGCTCAGGGCTGTGTGTACACGTCCCAGATGAATGAACATTTTGCTAGTCAAACGACGATTCGCGAGTCAATGTTTTGACGAAAGTAACGTTACGATTTTCGAAAATTACAACTTTTGAGCCTTACGATTATCAAGGGTTCACTGTAATATGTGTGGGTGGGGTGGCCTGGTATGGTAGCCTGGCTGGCTACCGCACATGCCAGTACCACACTTGATTTCTTACAATAAATACTACTCATCTCACCGTACATTAAGACTACAAATATTTTAAGGTAAGTAATGAATGTACTATATGTGTATTTTACTTTTTTATTGTTTTTTAATGCCTAGTTTTATTGCTAACTTAATGTATGTTACAGTTTTCATAGGATTCGGTTTTCAACAATTTTTGTCAAGATTTTGTCCCAGTTTTCATACATCTTTTCGGTTTTTGTAGAGTTGAAAATAGTCCGTACCAAATGTGTCTGCGTGACTCGGCCACTCAAGTGCCCACACAAAGCATCTCGTACATTCGTGACTCAGTCTACTTTGTTTCTTATTGAGTGCTCATCACCCCATGTGTTCATCCGAAACATTTCATAATAATCCATTGTTTTTTGTGCTTGTTTATTGAGCATGACTGCTAAATAAGCCACCATGGGGCCAAAGAAAGTTCCGAATGTGCCTTCTTCAGTGATTAAGGACGTGTGCAAAGTGGAGTGAGTTGCAAAGTTTTGTAGAGAAATATCACCCTAACAAAGCTGTTGCAAGCTGTGTCTGCAACATGTTCACTGACAATGCCTTGTCCCATTTTAGGCAAATCTTAAAGAGATGCCAGAAACAGCCCTCTCTGGACAGATTTTTTGTGCAACAGGGGTATAGTGACTAAAGTTGGTTCTAGTGCCAGTAAAAGACAAAGAAGGGAAGTAACCCTGGATAGGGCCTTGATACCTGAAGTCCTTATGGATGGGGATTCCCCTTACAAATAATAACCTCTCCTCCTCCCTCTCCCCTCCTTGCCATCTTCCATACACCAACAAGAGTCTTCATTAAAGGTGAAAGTGATGTTAAATGTTCATTTATCCATTTCATTAGTCATTTACATTTATTTCTCATTGTTTTTTGTATGTAAAACTATAGTTATTCTCTATAAAATGTATTTTTTGTTTATATTTTTGGGTGTCTGGAATGGATTAATTGGATTTACATTATTTCTTATGGGAAATATTGCTTCAGTTTTCGTCAGACTTTTTAGAACGGATTAATCAAGAGGTTCCACTCTAGTGTAAACTTGTTATCTAGTATTTATATGCATTTATAAGTGGAAAAAAAGGGCATTCCACTTTACGGCAATTTTCGCTTTATGGTGGTAGCCTGGAGCCTAACCTGCCATATAAGTAGGGCCCTACTGTATAGGCATTTTATTACATGCCCTCCAGATATGCAGTAGTAAAATGTTACTGGGTGAACAAATGTACAGTGGACCCCCGCATAGCGATTTTAATCCGTGCAAGAGGGCTCATTGTTATGCGAAATGATCGGTATGCGAATGAATTTTCCCCATAAGAAATAATGGAAATCAAATTAATCCGTGCAAGACACCCAAAAGTATGAAAAAAAAATTTTTACCACATGAAATATACATTTTCCTACAAACAAAGAGAAGGATACATGCACAATAGTAGAGTAGTACATGCACAATATATATTGTGCATGTACTACTCTACTAAATGAAGAATAAATGACACTTACCTTTATTGAAGATGCAGCAATGACTGATGAGACACTGTGTCCTGGGAGTGCCTTTTCCTCCTGAGTACTGTAGGTCCTGTTTGGCATTTTCTTCCAGAACAGGCCTTATCACACTGTGTATGCCACTACGATTCTTAAATCTCTCAAACCAACCTTTGCTGGCTTTAAATTCACCAATATGAGCACTAGTTCCAGGCATTTTTCCCTGTTCACCTGGGTGTTAGTCAACTGGTGTGGGTTGCATCCTGGGAGACAAGATTAAGGACCCCAATGGAAATAAGTTAGACAGTCTTCGATGACACCGACTTTTTTGGGTTATCCTGGGTGGCAAATCCTCTGGGGTTAATTGTTTCTTGGTATTCTCAATAAGCCACACCAACAACGGTGCTACAGCAGCAGCAGCAGCAGCTGACAGTGATACAGCAGCAGCAGACGATGCTACAGCAGCAGCAGACGGTACTGCAGCAGCAGCAGACTGTACTACAGCAGCAGCAGCAGCAGCTGACAGTGGTACAACAGCAGCAGCAGCTGACGGTGCTACAGCAGCAGCAGCAGCAGCTGACGGTGGTACAGCAGCAGCAGCAGCTGTACCACCAATAGTAGCGATGGTTGATTGGGGTTTATTATACAACCTGGCCAGCTCGGAGACACGCACTCCACTTTCATACTTATCAATGATCTTTTTCTTCATCTCTATAGTAATTCTCACCCTTATTGCTGTAGGGTTGGCACTAGAAGCTTTCTTGGGGCCCATGGTCACTTATTTTGCAGATAAAATCACCAAAAACACTCTAATAATACGAAATGTTCCGATTGTATGCTTGGATGTTACCGCGGAGGCTGGCTGGTAAACAATGCCACCGGCGGCACATGTGAGGCTGGCTAAGGGCGCACATTGGACGCGTCTCGGACGAACAGCGGTGAGCGGGTTTTTGGGCGGTATGCGAGGCAAAATTTTTGCGATAAAAGCGAACGGTATGCGGATTAAATGTTATGTGATGCCAACGGTATGCAGGGGTCCACTGTATATTGAAAAAGCTTTCTCCATCCTCAAGCTTTATGTGCACATCATCGACTTCTGCAAAAACAAAGCCTCTAGTATTCTCTCTGAACCCAAAGACGACGTGAACATTAAGAGACAGTTACTACTACTCATTTTCTTCCTCCTCCTCCTCCTCATCTTCAGTATTAGTTTTTTTTTTTTTTTTTTTTTTTCCATGTTTGCCACAACTGTCCCTGACCCAATGTTATTTTAATACAGCCTCAATTTTGCAGTTGGATACAATTCTTGACTTAGATATAGCATTTGTTTTAAAAAATAACTATTTGTGTCTTTCACACACTTGTAGTTTCCTGGCTATGGGAATCTCGAAATGCAAGAAAATCCCTGGTGGGCCGAGAGGATGACACGCGATGATGCTACGGTTCATTTGGGATTATCTCCGGATGGAACATTCCTCCTCCGCTGGTCTGACCGAAATGAAAAGCTTGTCTTGTCACTAAAGTGAGTTCATAATTCACCTTTCATCCTTACAGTTTTTTCTTTGTATTGTTTATTTTAACATTTAATTTTGTTTACAGGTATAGTGCAACATGTAATGCTGGTACTGAAAATTATATTTAGTATAAGTGGAAAAAATTGCCTAATAAATCTTGCCATTTATATGTATCAATACACTTCCTGGATGTTTGTCTCAGTAGGATGTCATTACAAATAGTTGACATTAACTGAGCTCTCTACCCAAACTTGCTGAATCAGAGGTAGTGTTTGAGGTAGTAAGTCCTAAGTATCAGAGGTTATTCACAGAAGGTGCTCTAAATAAATCACGCTTGAACCCATACTTGTCAGTTGACTTGTAGCCCTACATTATAACCAGAGTAAAAGTAAGGAAGAGCTACTTATGGATGGTTTACTTACCTGAAAACAATAGGACCAGACAGTATATCACTAGTGGTTTGAAACAGGGATGGGACCATCCCACATTTTTTTGACAATAACCATTTTCAGTTTTAAACTGATATTGGCATCATCAAAATTAGCCAATACTCACCAACACTGGTACTGATACCATTAAATTGCTGATACTTGGTTTTAACCCTTAACCCTTTCAGGGTCCCTCCTGTAGATCTACGGCTTCACGTTGAGTGTCCAAACTGTAGATCTACACCAAAATTCTAGCGCCGTCAAATTTAGCGCGAAAACGCTCATAGGCCTACATGTGAGAGAACGGGTCTGCATGGTGGGTGTGCGCCATAAACAAAAAATTTAGGCGCCCGCATAGCATTGTGGGAACGCCGGCTCAGTTACCCTTGTTCACCATGCCTCGTCGCAAGGCAGCTCTCACTCCAAAGAAAATTGGGACTCTCCTGTTCCTATCTGATAGTTCTGACAGTGATGGAAGTGGAAATGAAGACGAATTCTTTGGCTTTGATCAGTTAGTGACCGAAAGGAATGACCAGGATATCGATAATAGTGCAGAAAACCCTGACGATCCTGAACCTTCTACCCCTGGTGTGGGCACTCGTCAGTCACGGTCAGTTGTACTTCAACGCAAGAAAAAACTATTATTTTCACATGGCCAGGCCTCTGAGTTCAGTAATGATGATGATAGTGACATGGATTGTGATTTTATTGCTCTTGACGATCATTCGAGTAGTGATAGTGAGGAAACATATTCACCAGTGAAGCATCGGTATGTACGCTGCCACATGCGCTCGGGTAGTGTACCCTATGCCGTGCCCAGGGGCCGGAGTACATCCCAGAGTACATCCCGTGGCCCTACACCAGGTATTGATAGTGAGGATGATGTGGCTACACTTGGCATGGATAGACCACAGGCATCAGTAGATGGTGGTAGTGATGATGGTAGTGCCACGGCCATGCGTGACTCACCAGCCCAGGCTGGGACCCACGCTGCTGACTCCGCAGTTCAAGGACAAAGCGGAGCGTCAGCCACCAGCCCACCACAACCACAACTACCCGCACAACCAGCCTCTGATGTCCAATATCCACCAGCAAACCGTATCTGGGATTGGCAGCAAAATCCCAATTTTGTTCCCAAGCCCCACCTGTTGGATGACTCTGAAAGTGGAATTCTACCAACTTGTCCCCTTGGAAACACTGCAAATGAACTGGAATTCTTTGAACTATTCTTTGACCAGCCATTGATGGAAACTATTGTCAAGGAAAGTAACAAGTATTTTGAGTACACCATGGCAAATACGATCATATCACCACAGTCAAGACTATTTTTTTTTTTATTTTTTTTTTTTATTATCACACCGGCCGATTCCCACCAAGGCAGGGTGGCCCGAAAAAGAAAAACTTTCACCATCATTCACTCCATCACTGTCTTGCCAGAAGGGTGCTTTACACTACAGTTTTTAAACTGCAACATTAACACCCCTCCTTCAGTCAAGACTACACCGGTGGAAAGAGACGACTGTTACAAAAAATGAAATCATCCCAGTGAACAGGTTTATCTTACTGTTACGTATGTTGCACTTCTCTGACAAAACCAGGCCTGACAGAAGTGACAGGTTATACAAGATTAGAAATGTTTTTATGTATCTCAAACAAAAGTTCAGCATGTACTTTTATCCATTCAAGAATCTTGTGATTGACGAGTCTTTGATTTTGTTCAAAAGTAGACTGTCATTCAAGCAGTATATACCAAGCAAGAGGAAACGCTTTGGTATAAAACTGTTTGTACTCTGTGACTGTGACAGTGGCCTGGTATTGGATATTGTTGTATACACAGAAAGTAAAACATTGAAAGATACCAAGATGTTATTGGGTATCTCAGGTGACGTAGTGAGAAGCATGATGGCACCTTATCTAGGTAAGGGGCATACATTATATACCAATAACTGGTACACAAGCCCATTACTCAGTGATTTCTTGCGAGTGAACAAGACAGATGTGTGTGGCACAGTGTGTTCTAATCGTAAACATATGCCCAGGCTCAACACAGGTGCTCGTGGTGATGGCGTGCAGGTGTTTACTGCCAATGACATCATGGCATTACGGTGGCATGACAAACGAGATGTCACATTGTTGACAACCATTCACCGTAATGAAATGCAAGACAGTGGCAAAGTTGATCGAGTGACTAATGAACGTATTCGAAAACCAGTGACAGTGATTGATTATACACAAAACATGTGCTTGGTTGACAAATGTGACACGCAGATTGGCTTTGTTGATTGTGTTCATAAAAGTTACAAGTGGTACATGAAACTTTTCTTCCATCTCATGGACATTTCAATGCTCAATGCATATGTACCAAATGAAGACTGGCAACAGACCACTGTATGGTGAATTTTGTTTGTCTGTTGTCAGACAACTCATAATGAAGTACCAGGTAACAACACCTGCTATACAACAAGGTCCTCGAACTCCTCAGGATATACCCAAGCGTTTGAGGAGGGAAGGTGATCATTTCATAATACAGCTTCCTTCAACTCAGAAGAAATTTGCTCAGAATAGATGCATCGTCTGTGCACAAACAAAACGACGGCAACAGAGACGCAAAGACACTCAGTTTATGTGTGAGGAATGTAAGGTGCCTCTGTGCATGGTGCCTTGTTTCAAGGAGTTCCACAAGCTCCAGCAGTTCTAAAACCATGTCCAGTGATTGTAAATATGTAAATATATGATAGAACATTAGTATTATACAAGATTTGTGCATGTTTATTGTAATAAACAACAGTGGTAAACAATAATATGATGTTAACTTTAGTGCGGTTATTGTGTTCAATACAGTGAGTTTATATATATACATTATATACAGTGTTGGTCTCTCAGGCCCCAAATGTTAGTAGGAAAAGAAAAAAATTAGAAAAGAAAAGAAAAAACTACAAAAATTGGTAAACAAAGTAATGTGTGTATGTGGAAATAGTTGATGTTGCCACCACCACGTCATTTGGGGTCAACTTTTCGGCACTGTATCTCGGTAAGTACTGATCAGAAAATTTATTTTTTTTGTCTTATTACCCTCACAAAATTATACTCTTTAATTCTGTAAGAATTTTTTTTTTTTTTTTTTTTTTTTTTTTTTTTTTTTTTTTTTTTTTTTTTTTTCTCCAAAATTTCTTGGACACTGGAGCACCACTTCAGATTTTGGCCTTGGACCCTTAAGGGGTTAAACTGTCCAAACAGAGATCTGCGTTCACTTGCGTAGCGCTCTGAATATTTTTTTTTTTTTTTTTTTAACTCTTTGACTGTCGCAAGCCCCTTTCTGAAATTGTCATTTTGTGTAGAAAAATATTTGAAAAAAAAAATTATTTTTTCTTATGAAATGATAGTGTCTTTTCCCGATGCTAATGACATCAAAAGTACAAAATTTGATCAAAAACTTACGGAGTTACGCTCCCGCGAAGTTAGCGTTCTCGGTGATGTATATGCATCAGCGATTTCGCCGACTTTGAGCCCTATTTTCAGCCACTTCCATTGTTCCAGTTGACCAAACTCATAGCAGTTTCTTTAGAGCTCCATTTTTTTCTATCAATTGAGTACAAGAAATTGCCCATTTACCAATTTTAACTACCCAGTAAAGTGGTCAGAAATTGGCTATTTGGTCAGTTTTATGCAAATTAAAAAAGATGCCAATTTCAAAATAGGGTCCAGAATAAACAATGCAGACATTCTTGGCACTAAAATAACATATGCTCTGTTCATTAGTCACATCTCCAGGCCCCTCTTATATTAGTCTTGATTTCTATTTTGATTTTTTATTCACACAAAAAATAGAATATTTACTGTATTGCAGAGTATTGCATTACTGTAAAAATGGTATAAATAATATCCATGCACTAGTGAAAGAATATTAGACTCCCCAGTTGACGTGTATTGGACGTGTAGGTGATTTGTTTACTCTTGAACATTGGTAAAAATTTAACATTTCCGCTACTTTGAGCTCAATTTCAAGGTCGTTTTCATTGTGAAACTAATCAAAATCACCACTATTTCTGTAATATGTTTTCCATTCTATCAAATGAGACCATGAAAACAAGAATACAACCATAAATACTGTACAAAAGTACACCTCAAAGTCGGCGTTTTAATCCAAAAACAGTTGGAGTTTTTTTTCTTATGCACTGCATGCTGCAGGATTTTTTTTATACAGTGCACACTGACCACATAGACCCATTCTCTCACATGTGGGTCTATCAGCTTTCTCCTGCTTGATTTGAAGCCACTAGAGTTATTGAGTATATGTACATCCGACACACTGGCTTGTAAGACATATATATACGACCAAAACAGTCATAGGGTTAAAATGAAGAGCGCGTTTTTCCCAGGGTCCCTGAATTTTTTCATACTGCGCACACTGAGTTCATAGACCCATTCTCTCATGTCTAGGTAGCTCAGGCCTATCATCCCAAGGTTGAAAGCATGTAAAATAAAACATAGATCTACGTTCGGAGCGCTACGCACATGAAAGTAGATCTACATTTGGACAGTTTAAGGGTTAAGCCTATATTGATGCCACCAAAATTAGCCAGTACCTGCCAATAAAGCTACTATTGGCATACCCATAGTTTTAAAAAATGTGCAAAGAATTGAGCTGTCTATTCTGAATTTTGGAAGAAACTCTCATTAGAAGATTAAAGTGACAGACAAATGTGCTGAAATTTAATAAAATATGGTAAATAATATTGATTGTAAGGTGTCTCACAGTCAGCAAACATTAATTAGAAAAATATTTGATACAGGATGAAGAAAAAACTATTATAATTGTTGAAGGATGTTATTTGAAAGGAAAATGCAAATATTAATAGCAGGAAAAATTCCCTTTGCTTATATAAAAAGTTTTCCAAATTACTTTTCTTTTGCCAGCCAAAATAAAGGGGAATAGTATCGAAATTTGGTTGACAAAGGTGTGACATTCTTTGCTGCTAAGCTCACAGAGCTGAATAATGATTGGATTCATGTAATTGAGAACTAAATTATGAACTGTTGAAAGTCATACCTTTGAAGAGTTTTGAGAGTTAATCCACTCTGAGCCTGGCCGTTGGCCAGGCTCGTGATTGCAGGCAAAGCTTAAACCATTGCAGAAAATCCTATCAAACCCAACATTCTAGATCGTGTGAGTATTGCATTTAACAAAGCAGCCTAAAGGAATTTAGTGTTCTTTGTCCAATAGCTCCTTCTATAATCAGTCCAGCAAGATTGATGAACTGATTACATCAACTCAGGCTGGGGGACTGATTACTTTGAACTCATTCTGATCTTCCATCATTCTTCTATGTGTTGGACTGAGGAAGCCATTGTGTGGTGAAACGTTTCCAAAATAGGATGGATAATGAGAACCTTCAGAACTAGAGATGCCAAGCCCATGATTCTCTTCAAATTGCTTGTTCTCTCTTGGCTGGAATATTGCTGTACACTAATGGCCCCTTTCAAGGCAAAATTGCAGACCTGGAGAATATACAGAGAACTTTCACAGCACATACAAGTACGATAACGCACCTATATTACTGAAAACAGTTGAAGTCCCTTGATTTGTATTCCCTGGATTGCAGGTGAGAGTGATAAATGATAATAGACTAGTCCCTTTAGAGGGACTAGTCCCAAATCTGCTTATGAAAATCACTCCCTACAAAAGCAAATGACTTGGCAAGAGATGCAACATCCCCCTAATGAAGAGCAGCGGCACCACAAATGCACTAAGAGACAACACAGTAAGTGTTGGGGGGGCCCCAAGACTTCAACTGCCTCTCAGCATACATAAGGGGGATTACCAATAAACCCCCTGACTGTCTTCAAGAAGACACTGGGCAGGCACCCAAAGTTAGTACCTGACCAGCCAGGCTGTGGTTCGTATGTTGGTTTGTGTGTGGCCAGCAGTAACAGCCTGATCCACCACGAGGCCTGGTCATGGACTGGGCCATAGGGGTGTTGATCCCTGAAACACCCTCCAGGTATACTAAAGGTATAGCATGGCAGTGGTCACTATATTGATATGACAAATACGTAGTGTTTTTGCTCTTGATGGAAAAGTTAATTTTTTTGTCTTTAACTTAATGATGTAGCAGGGCTTGTATTGCCTTCATCATCCTTTTTTTTTTTTCTATTTCCATGATGGTAAGATTACCAAAGAATTGTTTTTATGTAAGCCGCTGCTCATCATTATGACTGACGAGTAAATTTTTATCCCCTCAAGAGAGATGCCTTGATGCTGCTGAGTGACTCTTGATCCAAGGAATTGGGCTTATCTTCCCATTATCTTAGATATTGTATGACCCCTGTGGGTGTAGTGTTTCCTCCTAAATATAATAATAACAATGAAAATTTATATGTTACAATTTTTAACGAAAATGAAATGTCGTAACAAAAATGTACAAACGTGTACTAGACTGGTCTAAGCTTACAGGGTGAAATTAAATTATAATTTTTACATCATTCACTGTGGGGAAAAATGTTAATAATATACTGTAATAGTAAGCAATTGGTGAACTTGCTGCATAGTATATATCTACAAGTGCTGTCTGTAAGCAAAATTTTTTGTGAGACTTAAAATTAATGGAATATAGGTCTATTTTTTTACATATGGTGGACGAGTTTGGGAGTGTAGAAAGTTGAAAGTGAACATAGAAAAGAGTAAGATGATGAGAGTATCAAATGATTTAGATAAAAATTAGATATCAAATTGGAGAGGAGGAGTATGGAAGAAGTGAATGTTTTCAGATATTTGGGAGTTGACGTGTCAGCGGATGGATTTATGAAGGATGAGGTTAATCATAGAACTGATGAAGAAAAAAGGTGAGTGGTGCATTGAGGTATATGTGGAGACAAAAAACGTTATCTATGGAGGCAAGGAAGGGAATGTATGAAAGTATAGTGGTACCAACACTCTTATGTGGGTGTGAAGCTTGGGTTATAAATGCTGCAGCAAGGAGACGGTTGGAGGCAGTGGAGATGTCCTGTCTAAGGGCAATGTGTGGTGTAAATATTATGCAGAAAATTCAAAGTGTGGAAATTAAGAGAAGATGTGGAGTTAATAAAAGTATTAGTCAGAGGGCTGAAGAGGGGTTGTTGAGGTGGTTTGGTCATTTAGAGAGAATGGATCAAAGTAGAATGACATGAAGAGCATATAAATCTGTAGGGAAGGAAGGCGGGGTAGGGGTCATCCTCGAACAGGTTGGAGGGAGGGGGTAAAGGAGGTTTTGTGGGCGAGGAGCTTGGACTTTCAGCAAGCATGTGTGAGTGTGTTAGATAGGAGTGAATGGAGATAAATGGTATTTGGGACCTGACAAGCTGTTGGAGTGTGAGCAGGGTAATATTTAGTGAAGGGTTTCAGGGAAACCGGTTGTTTTTATATAGCTGGACTTGAGTCCTGGAAATGGGAAGCACAATGCCTGCACTTTAAAGGAGGGTTCGGGATATTGGCAGTTTGGAGGGATATGTTGTGTATCTTTATATGTATATGCTTCTAAACTGTTGTATTCTGAGCACCTCTGCAAAAACAGTGATTATGTGAAAGTGTTGAATGATGATGAAAGTATTTTCTTTTTGGGTCACCCTGCTTTGGTGGGAGACGGCCAACTTGTTAAAAAAAAAAAAAAAAAAAAAATACAGGAAAAGGGGTTACCAACCTCCTTGCTCCTGTCATTTTAGTCACCTTTTACGTCACACTTGGCTTATAGAGGAAAGATTCTTGTCCACTTCCCCATGGATTTGGAAGTCCAGTTAGCCAGACTCAAGTCCTGGAGGTGGGGAGTACAGTGCCTGCATTCTGTAAAAGGGGTGGGGATAATTGCATTTTGGAGGGGCATTTGAACTGTAGTATCAGCATGCCTTTGGCAAGACTGATGGAGTGAGTAATGGTGAAAAAGTGTTCTATTTTGGGGCACCCTACCTTAGTGGGAGACAGCTAATGTGTGTTAGAAAAAATCTGTTTGTTTTATTTTTTCCTTTTGAATAATTCACAGGCAAGATATGCTTAGACGTTGTTGTGTACTGTTCCACAACACCCAGGAGAAAGCTTCATTTGTTTTTTTTTTTTTGTTTTTTTAACAATTTCACTGTTGGAAGGCCTAAAATTAAAATTGCTGTGTGTTAGTATTTAAAAAAAAATTTACTTGTAAAATAAAGGAGTACATTTTTCTGGTGGTAATGAAACAAAAAAAAAAAATTCCCATCAGTACTTACTGAGATATGGAGGCATAAATATGAAGATAATAATCTACTTAGGGCAACATTGGCAATAGCTATATACTTCACAAATTTTCTGTTTGATTTTTTGTGTATTTTTCTGATATTTTTTTTTATGTAGTATATACATTTTCCAGTAACTTTTGTAGCCCATGAGACACACATCATGCACAATTTATATATATCCACCCATTGTTTGTAACACTATACCCTCACTAAGTGTCAACGGTACTTTGTTTACAGAACAAGCCAGTAAAATTATCTGGACTCGCCTTATCTGTGCAACATATTTCTCAACAGGGAATGTGCTGCACACTTTGTATACATTATTCCTTTTCACAGAGCACTGGGTGAGGTGAAACATATGAGAGTTTTTCGACAAGATGAAACTGGCTTTTTTTACTTAAGTGAAGCTCGATTCTTTAGAACCATTGGGGAGCTCATCAACTTCTACAGACAGTCACCACTCTCTGAAAGCTTTACTGGGTACAGTATATATTTTATACTCTTAGTTAATTAGATTCTTTAATTTCTATGAAAGTAGCATCCATTTACCTCATCCTTTTAGGCTATGTACTTGAATCTTCTCTTTACATTATTTTAACTAATATTTATATTAAAATTCAGCCTTAGTCTGTATACTTAATTAAAAAAAAATTATTTGCTCTGTTATTGATCATAAATACTTTCATAAAATCTTGCTTAACTGCTTATCCTGAAGTAGCTTCTCAGATATTTGAAGTCTCTTAGATCATTTTCAGTTAATTCTTCAATCAGTTTTTTTTTTTTTTTTTCAGATTTAAACTCCATATAATAATTGCATTCCTGTCAAATATTTCTGCTTGTAAGGGCAAGCATGTAACAATTTTATTATCATTTTGACAAGTTAAACCACAGCACAGAGTTTTTTTTAGGAGAAGAGAAGATTATTTTTCAGTAAAAGAAGGCCTTAGACACGGATGCATGATATCACCATGGTTGTGTAACATATTCATAGATGGGGTTATAAAAGAAGTAAATGCTAGGATGTTGAGGAAAGGGGTGGAATTAAATTATGCATAATCAAATACAAAATTGGAGTTGACTCAGTTACTTTTTGCTGATGATACTGTGCTTTTGGGAGATTCTGAAGAGAAATTGCTAAGGTTAGTGGACAAGTTTGGGAGGGTGTTTAAAGGAAGAAAGTTGAAAGTGAACATAAGTAAGAATAAGGTGATGAGGGTATCAAATAGGTAAGGAAAATTTGGATATCAGATTGGAGGGAGGGAGGGAGTATGGAAGAAGCAAATGTGTTTGGATATGCCACCATTTGTGTGGGTGTGAAGCATGGGTTGTGAATGTTACAGTGAGGAGGAGGCTGGAGGCAGTGATGTCATGTCTAAGGGCAGTTTGTGGCATAAATGTTATGCAGAGAATTCATAGTGTGAAAATTAGGTGTGGAGTTACTAAAAGTACTATTCACAGGGATGAGGGGTTGTTGAGGTGGTTTGGTCATTTAGAGAGGGTGGAGCAAAATAGGTTAACTTGGAGGGTATATAAATCTGGAGTGGAGGGAAGGCAGGGTAGGGGCCATCCTGGGAAAGGACGGAGTGAGGGAGTAAAAGTGGTTTTGTGTGCAAGGGGCTTGAACATACAGCAGGCATGTGTCAGTGTGTTAGATAGGAGTAAATAGAGACGAATGGTTTTTGGAACTTTACAAGCTGTTGGAGTGTGAGCAAGGTAATATTTTGTGAAGGGATTCAGGGAAACCAGTTAGCTGAACTTGAGTCCTGGAGGTGGGAAGTATAGTGCCTGCACTCTAATGAAAGGGTTTGGGATATTTGCTATTTAGAGTGACATCTAAACTCGTATCTGCATGCCTCTGGCAAGACAGTGATAATGTTAAAAAAAAATTAGTGTGTTGGTGAGAGATGTTGGATTAAAAGATAAAAAGTCTGTAACAAAGTGGGATTTGCCACATTGATTTTTTGCCACTGACATGATGCTTCTGGAAGATTCTGAAGAAAAGTTGCAAAGGTTTATGGAGGATTCTGGGAGGGTATGTAAAAGAAGAGAATTAAGAGTGAACATAGGAAAAAGCAAGATGATGATGAGTAACAAGAAATTTAGATAATGAAAGATTGGATATCAAATTGGAAGGAGGGAGTATGAAGGAAGCAAATGTGTTCACGTATGTGGGAGTGGACTTGTTAATGGCTGTGCCCATGAAAGATGAATGGAGCCATAGAGTTGACATAACTTGGGTAAGTTTATAAGTCATGGCTTCCGTAGTATAAATCCTTACTAGTGTATCACTGAGTGATTGCCTATTTATTAGTTATTCTTACCAGTTCACATATGCAAGTGTTGTTGGTGATAATGGTAGTGCTAGTGGTGATATTAACCCCTTGACTGTTGCAACCCCAAATCCTAACTTAGTGTTAAATGGTTCCCCTATATCAAGACACACGGAGGGCAAATTTCTAGTTCTTCTCCTTGACTAATCTTAAATTTCAGTCCCATACCCATCACATAGCCAAGAAAATTTCCAAATCAGTAGGAATCCTTTCCAAGATACGATACTATGTACCACAAATGACTCTCCTTACCCTGTACCACTCTGATATATCCTTACCTCACCTATGGTATTTGTGCCTGGGGCTCAACCACAGCCAACCACCTTAGACCCTTAATAATCCAACAAAAAGCTGCTGTGCAGGTGATAACCAGCTCCTGTGCTAGATAGCATGCCCCACCATTTTTCAAAAGACTCAACTTGCTAAATATACAAGACATACACTCATATTATTGTGCCTACTACATATACAGAACATTAAACTCCACTGTAAACCCTCCCCTACAACTACTACTTGACAGTTACAACAGAATGCACAGTCACAATACAAGGCATAAGGCACTTCTTAACATCCCTTGAGTCAGTCTCTCACTATGCAAGAACGCTATGCACATAAAGGGCCCAAAGATCTGGAACTCGCTACTGGAACAGGCCAAGGATCCCCTGACAGCTTATAAATTTAGGACTTTGCTAAAAAAAAAAATCATCTTATCTCTCAATATTAACCAAATCAACCAAAACATCTGCTAACTACTTTTATTATGTGACCTCTAGGTTCTTAATTCTGCCAATCCATAAAATATTACCACCTGCACCATTACTTGTAAGGTAGATTTTGTGTGCAATTTCAAGATTATTTTACCGAACCCTACTCCACCTACTACCTCTCATTTGTATTAAGTTTAAATAAGATTGTAAAACAGTTAACCACTAATACTTGTCTAGTTTTAAGTATAGTTACTATGTACTATTATCTTATCCAGTTTTAATTAGTTACTATGTATTAGGATTAGTCTGCCCAAAATGCCTCGGCATGATGGTGGCTATCTTTGTAATTAACAAATCAAATTGTAATTACACATTGTAACCTTTACAAGGAAATAAACTTTACTTTACTTTACTCGTTTCAGAAGTCTTAACTTGCTAAATACAAAACATCCACACTTATTATTGTGCCTACTACATACACAGAACACTATACTCTAATGTAAACCCTCCTCTCAAACTCTTCCTTGATAACTGTAACGGAATACTCAATCATAATACGATACACAGATCACTCTTCAATATCCCTTGTGTTCATCTCTCCCTATGTAAAAATGCTATGCACGTGAAAGGCCCGAGGATCTGGAATTCATTGCCAGAACACACTAAAGGACCCCTGTCTGTAAATCAGTTTAAGGCCCTAATAAGAAATCACCTCATCACCTAAAATTAACCAGACAAACCGTGCCTAGTCACTACCAGTTTCTCAAAACCTGCTTGTATTGTACTGATGAATGCTCAACCACTTACTACTTTGAAATTAGGATGTCTATTTTTTCATTGTTTTAAATAATAGTAGATTGTAATACAGTATATCATAATGTGAATTGTTTCTTTGTAATATCAAATTTCATTGTTTAACCCTTTCAGGGTTTCCGACGTACTAGTACGGCTTATGCACCAGGGTTATTGACGTACTAGTACACCTAAATTCTAGTGCCTTCAGATCTAGCAAGAGAAAGCTGGTAGGCCTACATATGAAAGAATGGGTCTATGTGGTCAGTGTGCGCAGTACAAAAAAAAATCCTGCAGTGATTTTGCACTGTATTTTTGTATGGTATTTATGGTTGTATTCTAGTTTTCCTGGTCTCATTTTATAGAATGGAAGACATATTACAGAACTTGAGATGATATTGATTGGTTTCACAATGAAAAGTACCTTGAAATTGAGCTCAAAGTAGCAGAAATGTTCAATTTTTGCCAAAGTTCAAAAGTAAACAAATCGTGCCACGCATCCAAAACACGTCAACTGGTGAGTCTAATATTCTTTCACAAGTGTCCTGATATTACTTATACCATTTCTACACTAATGCAGTAGTCTGCGTAACAGTACATGTAAATCTTCTATTTTTTGTGAGAATAAAAATTCAAAGTGGAAAGCAAAAGAAATGTAAGTGGGGCCTGGGGATGTGACTAATGAACAGAGGAAATATTATTTTAGTGCCAGGAATGTCTCTTGTTTATTCTAGACCCTATTTGGAAATTGGCATCTTTTGAAATTTGTGTGAAATTGGAAAAATTGCTAATTTCTGACCACTTAATGGATAGTTGATATTGGTAAATGGGTGGTTTCTTGTACTCATTTGATAGAAAAAATGGAGTTCTAGCAAAATAGTTATGATTTTTGTCGACTAGTACACTGGAATTGGCCGAAAATAGGGCTCAAAGTGGGTGAAATCGCCCAGATCGTCGAGATCGCTAACTTCGCGAGAGCATAATTCCGTAAGTTTTCCATCAAATTTCATACTTTTGGTGTCATTATGATCGGGAAAAGATTCTCTATCTTTTCTTAAGTTTTTTTTTTTTTTTTTTTCAACCCCGAGAACAAGTTTAGGAGAGGGCCTCTCGACCCTGAAAGGGTTAAATAGTACTAAACTGTAATAAATCATATTGTAAATTGTTTTAAATTGTTACATTGTAATACTGTAATCTTTATTAACTAATTCAATAGTGTAATAAGTCTCTACTAGACTTATAAAAACCATGTAGCATTACCTGATAGAATATACAATTCTACTGTAGTCACTGTAACTCGTCTAATGACCATATGAGCTATGCATTATTGCCTTACTAATCTTAAGTTAATCTTTAAGTCTGCCTGAGATACTGTGCATACAAAGGAGCTTTTGGCAAGTACAGCCAACTATTATATTCGTCTGTACAACCATGTAATTTGTCCAAATAAACATCTTTATCTTTAATATTAAAGATTCCCATATGTTGCATAAATGTCTCAATCTTCAACTTGTCAGTTTTCAAAACCATTTATCACACATATTCAACTAGTTTATTCATATAATTCTTACACTATCTCTTATCCCCTTTTTCCCTTATATCAAGTAACTATATATACTCTCTGACCATCTAGGTACCCTCTCCCCTTTCATGCATTTATCGAACAAATACACCAACCCTTCCAGAATTCGAACCCCACCTGCTTTTAACATTTGTCTTAGTC